AATAATAATAATAACATGGGGGGAGAACTGCTTTGGATGGCTGTGCACAGCACAGCCATCCAAAGCAGTGTGCTTACAGTGAAGCACACAGACACAGCCCCCTATGTAAAACACTACCAGCACACAATTAACCCTTTGATCGCCCCTCATGTTAACCCCTTCCTGCCCAGTGCCATCAGTACAGTGTCAGTGCTTTTTTTTAGCACTGGTCACTGTGTTGGTGTCACTGGGGATGTCAGTGACACCAAGTCAGTTCCCCCCAGTGTCAGAATGTCCACCACAGTGCTGCAGTCCTGCTATAAGTCGCTGATCGCCACCAATACTAGTTAAAAAAAAAAAGACATGTAGCAGAATACATTTTGGCCAAAATTTATGCCGAAATTAGATTTTTAAAATTTTTTTACTGGACATGTTTAAAAGTCAAAACTATTGTTATTTCTGAAAATTGTCAGCCTTTTTTTTTTTATAGCGCCAAAAATAAAAAAAAACGCATAGGCGATCAAATACCACCGAAAGAAATCTAAATTCATGGGAAAAAAAGGACGTAAATTTAATTTGAGTGCAGCGTGGCATGACTACTGCGCAATTGTCAGTTAAAGCAATGCAGCGCCGTAATGCAAAAAAATGGCCTGGTCAGGAAGGGGGGTAAATCCTCAGGAGGACAGGTGGTCAGAAGTGGGCCTATGGGGAGAGGTGCTGCAACCAAGGCTGATGAAGCCATAGTGCTGCTGACATGAGAGACAGGTAGCTCAGTATTTTCAGTGATTGTGTTTTTGCTGAAGCCGGAAAATCCCCTGCATTGGAACCATTTGCTTTACTTAATAAAAGCGGGCTGCCATGCCCTTAAACTGCAGTTCGGACTGACATATCTTACTAAACAAATGCAACTTCACTCACAAGCTAACAATCCCCCAGATTACAGGCAGGGTTTCTCAATCTTTCTTCTATTGTGGTACTGACTGCCAAACCCTGGAGAACCCCGAACCACAACTGTAACCATCACCACTAAGCTAAATATAATTCTCAATCTGACTGCAAATTAAAGAGGTATTGAAATACAAAACTGTAATAATTGCAGCTTACCAATCATTAGATGTGGTGGCTGCTTTCATTTTCTTTTTTTGGCTTTTTTTCTTCTTTATTTGACCTGGTGATCTGGCCACTAACACACTCCCTGTATAAGGCCTGGTTTACACCTATGCATGTTGCAATCCATCATTCCATATTCCATCATTCCATCAAAAACTGGCTACACTTAATTGCAGTGCGATTTCTGAAGACTTTATTGCTACTTGTGAAGATTTTCAATGATTTATTGCCATTTGCAGTGCGATTTCCATTATATTTTATGTATGTGAAATCATAACAAAACTTCAGAAAAAGTAATGCAAGAACTACTTTAGAAATTGCACTGCAGCAAATCAGCAAATGCCTGGTCACACTGGTGCGTTTTTAGGTACAATTTGCGAATAGAAATCACACCTGAAATCGCATCTAATGAATGTGGATGTCAGTGTCTTAACATATGCGATTTGCTGCAGGGCGATTTCTAAAGTAGTTCTTGCATTACTTTTACTTCAGCTTGGTTGTGATTAGAACTCAAGCAATGTTGATGTGGCAACCTCCTTTGTTGTGCCTTTGTATTCTGACAGCAGGGCCCCCCTTGCCAGAACTGATCAGTGCTCGCAGCCACAAGGTCATTTATTTATGGATACAGTCCAATTTCTGCAAACATCACTTAGCATATTGGGCTCCATCAAGGCTGCTGTTAGAAACAATGGGGCCCCATACAGCCAACCCCCCCCTGCCCCCCCCCCAAAAAAAAAAAAACAAAAAAAAAAAAAAAACATCAGATATGAATGAACACAGTGAGTTATTGGTACTGATCACTCACTGTGTTCATACAGAAAAAGTAGGGGCTGGTAAATGTGGAATATGTACCGGACCACTACCGCACTCTCCATCCTGAAGGATCCTATTGCGTGCTTACAGCTGCTGGTGGGAAGGAGAGCAGGGAAGCCTGCAGCACTACAGGGGTGGCCTGGTAGGAAACATATGGTGCACAGGTAGGGTGATGGATGCAGCGGGGGGGGGCGGGGGGGGGGGGGGGAATTACAGGAACCAATCACTTGTATGGAGCAGTTAAAAGCCAGCTGCAGAGTGAGCCAAACAAGGGATCGGTTCCAGTAATTTTCCCTCCATTGTACTGATCACCCTTACTGCCCACATCATATTCACCCAGCCACTTGGGCCCCCCTTGCTGGCCTGGGCCCCGTACAGGAGGACTGGTGGTAACCCCTTATCCATGGCCCTGGGTTCCATTCACAGAAGCAGATCACTTGCGGGATTTAGGTGCCTGGACACATTTTGCCTAAATATTGCATGCAATTCTGAAACTGTCAATTCACTATACCGTTTTGAGGTATTTAAGCTCAAGCACTCAAAACGTTCTGTAAAAACAGCATGAAAAGGCGTTAAACTCAATTCACAGAAGGAAATAGATAATTAAATGCATGCGGTAATTAAGTAGTGGTCCAGGCATGAGGTATTTAAGAAATGTAAAAATATAATAGGCAATTTTGAGTAGTTTCTGCCTTTTTAGATCAGTTCTCTCAACAATAAAGCATAGAAACCTAGAAACCATAGAAACCTAAACATGGAAATATGGAAATCATTGGAAAAGCTTTTTTTTTGTTTTGGATAGAGTGGAGGTGGATTAGAACACCTGTCTGGTTTTTTATTGTTGTCCCCCAGTTCGATTCACCCTCTCTATTTATCTTATTTATCACTATCATCAAAAGTGAAAGTAAATCCCACAGTTTTGGTTGTCCCCAAAAAGGTAATAGAGAGGAAATTTTCCAATGGGGACTCAGATGGCAAAAAATTAAGAAAAAGACAACAAAAAAACAGAGGGGGTATAACCCTCCTTTATGTCATCCAAAATGGGGGGAAAAACTGTTGCCTATAGTTCTCCTGTAAGGCATTTTTCAGGTTGCTCCCGAGCTTAGTACATGAAGTAAAGCTTCACTTTACAAGGAATACCCAATTGCATACAAAGGAAAAAAAACAGCAATTTTTGCTTGCATATGGCTGAATGATGAAAGTCAGCAGAGCTTCGCCTCATTTACTAAGCTCTGGAATGTTGCAAAGTGCTCAGTCTATGTGCTTTTAGCAAATAAACCCCATAAAATTTTGTAAATCCACCCCATTACATGTAGAAAAATATACTTATTTTTCTGTCATTTCACCAGATTTTTAGAGGACCTTTTTTAGCGACTATACAAACATATACATCATTTGCTGCAAAAAAAACCCAAAAAACCAAAAAAAACTCCCAATCACTCCAAACATAATACATATCACAATGGTCTAATCCAGGGGTCACCAAACTTTCTACAGAAAGGGCCAGTTAATGGTGTTTCAGACTTTAGGGGGTGCCGGACTGCTGGAAGTCAGAGAAGAAAATGTTGTGGTTTCACTAGGAGTAAACAATGCTCGATTTTTGGAATTAGGGGAGGTATAGTGCCCCGTCAATGGCATCAGTGGAAGGAATTGTGGCCCATTGTTGGTGTCAGTGGGTGGAATAGTGGCCTGTCATTGGTGTCAGTGGGAAGAACAGTGCCTCACCACTGGTGTAAACTGGAGGAATGGTGCCCCATGGTTGGTGTCATTGGAAGGAATTGTATCCCAGCACTGGTGTCAGTGAGAGGAATTGTGTCCCAATGTAGGTGTCAGTGGAAGGAATAGTGCCCAACTGCTGGTGTCAGTGGAAGTTATAGTTCCCCATCATTGGTGTCAGCGGGAGGAATAGTGCCCCATCATTGGTGTCAATGGAAGGAATTGTGGCCCATTGTTGGTGTCAGTGGGTGGAATAGTGGCCTGCCATTGGTGTCAGTGGGAAGAACAGTGCCTCACCACTGGTGTTAATTGGAGGAATGGTACCCCATGGTTGATATCATTGGAAGGAATTATATCCCAGCACTGGTGTCAGTGAGAGGAATTGTGTCCCAATGTAGGTGTCAGTGGAAGGAATAGTGCCTAACTGCTGGTGTCAGTGGAAGGAATTGTGCCCTTTCCTTTGTGTTTTTGGGAGGAATTGTACCCCATTGTAGTTGTCAGTGACAGAAATAGTGCCCCATCATTGATGTCATTGGGAGGAATGGTGCCCCATTGTTGGTGATATTGGGTGGAATTGTATACCATCATTTGTGTAAATGGGAGGATTTGTGCCCCATTGTTGATGTTAGTGGCAGGAATGATGTTCCATTGATCGAGTCAGTGAATGGAATAGAGCCCCAAGGGCTGGATAAAAGCAAGCAACGGGCCACACCCAGCCCCCAGGCCACAGTTTGGAGACCACTGGTCTAATCCCTTGTTAGAACATATGTAGTGTGTATACTTTACTTTTTCACAATTATTTTTAGAGATATCTTCCCACTAACAAGTTCCCACTGACATCATTGATCTTTTTTATCTATCTATAATGGGGGAATTCTTCGTAGTGACCACAAGTGTAAGGAGCATTCTTCCCACTGGCCATCACATTAATGTATTATCATGTATCATGAGTTGTAGATATAGCCATTTTAGCAGGGGTTTCCTGAGACCGAAAAGTTATTTCAAGGATTCCTCTGTGTTGAAAAGGTTGAGAAAGGCTGTTTGAAAGTGTAACACCCCAGTCACATCAAGCCTGACTCTGAAATCATGTGACTTACAGTGAAGTCGCACAATTTCAAAGTCGGGTGACTTGCCGATTTCAGGTGCAATTTTCAAGATATCTGACACAGATGTCTATGCAAATCGCACCAAAAGTAGTGCATGTACTACTTTAGAAATCGGGTGTGGCTCCGGCCAAGTTGGAACCGCACTGATATGACCGCTGTAATTGCGGGCAATAGGGTGCGACTTGGCATGCGTTTTGCAAGTTTCATGGCATGCAAATCGCATGCCATGTTGCACCCAGTGCGATCAAGGTCTAAAGGAAAAACTTTCTTTTTCATTTTGAATAGAGTAATTGAGGCTTAGAATCCCTGTTAGTTTTTCTTTTTAATTTTTTTGCCATCTGTGTCCCCATTGGAAAATGTCCCCTCTATTACTGTTCTGGGGCCACCCCAAAATTTGGGATTTTCTTTTACATTACTTTTCAATTATAATGGTAAACAGGACAAATACGGTGAATCTTCCTAATGGAGACAGGCTGCAGTAAAAAAATAGGTGTTCTAATACCTCTCTCCATACTATCCAAAACAAACAAAAAAAAAAGTTTTTCCTTTAGTTATACTTTATGTAAATACAAAATATCTTTCTAAATGTCAAATATTGAATGAAAATTGTATCAAAAATCACACACATATATAAATACCCTTCTTCCACCAATAAAAAAGGCAACATTGTATTTTTTATTGGTGGAAGAAAGGTATTTGTATATGTGTGTGATTTTTTATACTATTTTCATTCAATAGGTGACATTTAGAAAAAATATTTTGTATTTACCTAATTTAAGTTAGTTGTTTTTGATACACCATGTGTGTCCTGTGGAAGCAGCTTCCCTGTGACTGGTATTCCAGGCACCTTTTTTGTTTTGTATAAATACATAGGACCACAGTGACTTAGGCCCCTTTCATACTGACAGTCCGATCCTGTCACTTTTTCAGGCGGACCCAATCAGACCATCCATATCTCTCTATGGAGCAGCAGGTGTCCGCTAACACCTGCCGGCATCTGATCCGATCCTGTAAGTTAAAAACAGATGGATGGCAGATTTGATCAGATTGGACGGCAGTTGGGTGGAAACAGACAGTCGGTCCATTGCCATCCGATTGCCCCATAGAAGACAGCAGGCTGTGTCTGTGTCCGTTTTGCAGCAGTGGAGCGAACACAGACCTGTCATCCACTTGCTCAGCAGGAGTCAGTGAAGACTGACACTGAGCACTGGATTCGCCCCGTCTGAAATGGGCCTTAGTTGGCATATTTCTATGGCTTAAACAATTTTACCTCTTTATTAGCAATAAAAACCGACAGGGGTTCTAATCCTTCTCCACTGTATCCATCCCACTGGATATCGCATGAAATTTCATGAGATAAATACCACATATTGTATTTCAGAAAAATACCACATGCGGTATTTTAGTAGTGCTTTTTTGTGAATGCCAAAATTTGTTTTGAAAAACACTGAGCAGTATTTTAGTGCATTTCTTAACCACTTCAATACCGGGCAGTTATACCCCCTTCCTGCCCATGCCGATTTTCAGCTTTCAGCGCTGTCGCACTTTGAATGACAATTACGTGGTCATGCGATACTGTACCCATATGACGTTTTTTATAAATTTTTTCACACAAATAGAGCTTTCTTTTGGTGGTATTTAATCACCACTGGGTTTTTAATTTTTTGCTAAATAAACAAAAAAAAAACACCTGAAACTTTTGAAAAAAACACCTTTCTTCGTTTCTGTTATAAAATTTAGCAAATAAATAACATTTCTTCATAAATTTAGGTCAAAATGTATTCTGCTACATTTCTTTGGTGAAAATAATAATAATTGAATTTGTATTTTTTTTTTAAATGTTTCTATTTTTTTTTTTATTTTGTATTACATTTTTTCAACTATTTTATTTTTCAGCACACAGCGACCAAAGCAACACAATGTTACCATAGTAACATTGAACTACTCTAGGCAAGTGAGCAGGATTTTTTTTTTCTTAACACATTAGAATTGCTAATACCAATGTATTTCATTGATATTTGCAATCTTTGTTACTGAATGAAACTGATTAATTCAGTCTTTTGTTGTGATTAGCTGTGATTGGGCAAAGCTGATAACATGATACAGATGGGCTGTGATTGGCCCTGTCTGTATCATGTGACTGCCTTGACCAGTCACAGCTAACAAAATAATTGTATACAATGGATGGCATGACAGGAAGCTATCCATTGTATACAATTGACACATGATCTGCTGTGATTGGTCACAGCGGTCACGTGATACTGGCAACGGGCAGTGTAATGATATGTCATTGGCTGTGTCCCGTGGACACAGCCAGTGACAGATCGTGCCGCTGCGCTGCCCTGAGGCCACAAGAGCGCCTTGTTTTGACAGGACGTCATATGACCGCCCAGACACAACGGCGAGTGTCTTGCCCGGCCGTCAGTCTGCTATAGGCTGTTAAAGTGGTCAATTTATAGGTATAGTTGATCCAGAGAATATCTGATTGCCTCTTGGGGGATCAGGAAGGAATTTTTTCCCCTGCAGGAGCAAATTGGATTGTGATTTGCTGTTTTTTTTTTCCTTCCTCTGGATCAATTGAGGGTGTAGGATTATAAGGTTGTTTTTTTTTTTGGTTGAACTGGATGGACTTTTGTCTTTTATCAGCCAGACTACCTATGCAACTATGACACCACTTCGTAAATAGAGCCCAACGTCCTCAATGAATGATTCAGTGTACCAGGTTGAAGTTTTTGGACTCATGCTATTGTTTCCCCTCAAGAACAGCTGTTATTAACTGGCTTTGTCCCTCTTCACACATAAACATGCACACTTGAACAATCAGGGCATGCCTGTTTATGGAAAGGTCTTCTGTATCTCTTGATCTGTCAGAAGTTGGATCATACCTGTATGGCCCACTGCCATCTGATGTCTAGCTGATAGTTTTAGTAACATAATCCTACAACTAACAAATAAAGGAAGTAAACAGTGGTCATCTAGCCCAAGATCCATTTCACAATAGTAAATTACACAATTTATTTTGCTTGCTACTAGAATCCATTTTCAGGAGCTTGTTTGAAGGAGCTAAACACTCTCAGGAAAAAAACATTTCTTAAGACTACACAGAAAATTTGGCAGCTTATATATTTGACACCTGATACAATTTCGGTAAATTAAATAGTTTATACCTAATGGACTGCTAGGGAAGCTGGATAACATTGTACAATGCTACTACAGTGATAGCTACAATATTCAAGCTCGTACTCATACTCTGTGCAAGTGGCTGCCCTACTGCTCACTGACCACAGGGGGACACTGGCTCGGGACCACCACCGTTCATAGAACACTGTGGCTGATTTACTAAGGCTAGGTTCACATATGTGCGGGTGGTGCCGCTGCGGATCCACACAAAAATCTAAGCAGTCTCACTACCTGCACAGAAGAATGCAGACCTGTGGGCGGGTGCCATTAATTCTAATAGCCTGCCACCCGCATTGGATATTGCAACCGTACTCCCGTGCGGGCTGCAGTTTCAGAAGTGCAGTGACTTCTTCCTGTGTGTCCCGGGGCATAGGAGTCCATTCAAATGAATGGGCTCTCGTGGCCACGCAAAACGCGGATTGCAGGAACGCAGATATGTGAATCAGGGGTTAAACTGGAAAGTGCAAAATCTGGTGCAGCTGTGCATGGTCACCAGTCAGCTTCTAACTTTAGCTTGTTCAATTGACAAAAAAACCTGGAAGCTGGTTGGTTTTATGCAGAAGTGCACCAGGTTTTCTATTCAGTTTTAGTAAATCAACCCACCTTGTATTTTGTTTTCTTCAATACAAGGCATTTTCTGATTGGACCAGGTGGAACGAAGTGCATCATGAATGGTGGCGGTGTTGAGCCAGCACCCTATGGTGAATGTGCAGTGGGGCAGCTGTTCGCATAGGGATTGATTTACTAAAGGCAAATAGACTGTGCACTTTACAAAGTGCAGTTGCATGCTACAAGTGCCGTTGTGTCAGAGCTTAGTAGCTGAGGAAAAACTTCACTTTGCAAAGACTACCCAAAGACGTGCAAGGAAAATTATGATTGGATGATGGAAGTCAAGAGAGCTTCTGCTCATTTACTAATCTCTGGAACAACTGCTTTTGCAGAGTGCAACTACACTTTGCAAAGTGCACAGTCTATTTGCCTTTAGTAAATCATCCCTATAGTACCTGAGCAGGACAGTACAGACTAAGACTATCACTGTAGTAATACCAACTACTACAGCGATTTCCAGATTCCTCAGTGGCCCGTCAGGTACAGGGGTGGACTGACAACTCATGGGGCCCCCGGGCAATAGGGGATCATGGGGCCCCTGTGTCCTTGCCCAAACTCAAAAAAGCCTATGAATAAGGTAGCAGGGGCATCTCATGGGGCCCCTTTCTGACCCCGGGCCCATGGGCAGTGCCTGAGTTTCCAAATGGTCAGTCCACCCCTGGTCAGGTATGAGATATCCATACTTACAATATTCCAAGCTGTACTAATTTCACTATAAAATACTGTTACTTTAATTATTTTCAAAGGGTAAAAACTGGGAATGCACTTGCCCACTCTTAAACACAGTAAATGCACATGTAGCCTATTTATGCATGTTCAGATATTTCTAGGCAGAAGCACTGCTTGAACTTAAGTGTGATGAATGTACAGATCAATACTAAGGATGGGTGGTGACGCAGCAGCTGAGAGTGGGGTGTGGAACTAGTTGTTGGCTTGGGGAACAAAATAAATCATGTGTGTCACATGGCCAGAACTCAGCGATCATGGCATATGGTTAACTATTTAGTCACCAGGATGTTAACAATAAACCTAATCAATATCTTACAAAAATCAGTTACAGAAGTATAGTTTATTAATATATTGCCAATTATCTGAAGATGATTTAAACTTCTACTATCTCTTGTTTAATATTGAGGGATGGATTTTAGATCCAAGCACAATGATGGCTTTGATGATTTTTGTGTGGGATGGATTTCTCTGTAAAACTTTTTTTTTGTTTTTTTTGCCTATTAAATGTAAATTAATATTAAACAGTTTCCCTTGTACCAATCAATATATTAGAAAATTTAACAGGTAGTGTATATGTAGCTGTGATTTTTTTGTGCCTGAAATAATATAAGGGAATATTGATGTTTGACCATATTTGATGGCCTCTGGCAGAACTGTGGATGAGGGGGTACCTCCAGTCCTCCTGTTTGGGGCCCAGTAGGGGGGCCCCCGGGTGAATCAGATGTGGACAGGGAAGGTGATCAAATGGTGGGGGGCAATTACTGAAACCGATCCCCTGTGTGGCTCACTTTGCAGTAGCTGAAAGCTGGCTCCTTCTCATCCCCCCCCCCCCCACTGGAGTTCAGCTGCTGCAGAGAGAACCATACAGGGGATTGGTTCCAGTAATTGCCCTTGTCCCCCCCCATCATACCCATCACCCTCCGTGTGCACCATATATTTCCCCATGCTGCCCAAGCTCCCCTGTATGCCCTTGTGACGGCGATCATAAATATTCTTTTATTTTTCTGCTGTTTTTTTTAAATCAACATTGTGTCAAGCAGTCAGCTTGTTTGCTTAATTAAATCTATGAGTTCCTGTGCCCCGCAGGGGGTGGGAGTTGAGGTTGATCGCAGCGGGAGGCACAGACGGCACAGTGTCCTGCAGCTGGAAAAAGCCAGGTGTGTTGGCACCGGGTGCTTGAGGTTTGGTTGAATTGGAGGGACAATATAATGTCCTTATGCTGGCAATATAATGTTCCTAAGCTGGCTTCTTCTCCTCTCCCCCCACTGGCATTCAGCTGCTGCAGAGAGAACCATACAGGGGATCGGTTCCAGTAATTGCTCCCCCCCACCATCCCCATCACCCTCCGTGTGCACCACACATTTCCCCATGCTGCCCAAGCCCCCCTGTGTGCTCTTGTGACAGAGATCAGAAATATTCTTTTATTTTTCTGCTGTTTTGTTGAAATCAACAGTGTGTCAAGCAGTCAGCTTGTCTGCTTAATTAAATCTATGAGTTACTGTGCCCTGCAGGGGGTGGGATATGAGGTTGATCTCAATGGGAGGCATAGACAGCACGGATTCCTGCAGCTGGAAAAAGCCAAGTGTGTTGGCACCGGGTGCTTGAGGTTTGGTTGAATTGAAGGACAATATAATGTCCCTATGCTAGCAGAAAGGGGCAGAATGTTCAGAGCTTAAGTCAGTGATGGAGGAACTCATGGCTGCAGGTCTTGCTAGAAGATGCATTGAACTACTGAGACAGATAGTTCTGTATTGGCTGTGCTTTGCTTTTTGCACTGCTGCGACTTGTAGTTCTGCATTGTCTGTGTGGCATTCCAGAAGCTGCAACTTTCCTCTACCCTCTGCTCCTCTGTCAACTGTTGCCTGTGTGGACTTGAAGCTGCGGCCATGACACACAGCCTTCCAAGGTCCCGTGATGAGTTGGTGAAGTACCTCTGTCCTCTGGACCTTCTCCATGCCACTCTGCCTAGACTTCCTCTTCTGAAGCCACTGTTGGATGGTGAGTCCCTGAATTGCTGCCCTGTGCTCCTGGACTGTGCTGTACCAGTTTGTGGCCTGCCACTCTGGGCCCCGATTGTTGCTCTTTGACTCTGGACTTAGCTCTGCTGTGCTAGAGTGCCACCCTGTGCCAAGGACTTAGCCCATGTTTTGCTGGATCCCTGCCATCTCTGCTGTGTTTTCCTTGTGTGGATTAACCCTTTGTCTGCCAGAACGCTGCCATCTCTGCTGTGTGCCCAGCCGGTGTTATGGACTTAACCCTTTGTCTGCTGCAGTCCTGCCATCCCTGTGGTGTGTTCTGCCCTGTGTTACAGATTTAACTCCTCGCCCACCAGAACTCTGCTACCCCTGCTTTGTGTCCAGCCTGTGTTACAGATTTAACCCTTTGCCTACCAGAACTCTGCTGTCCCTGCCTTGTGTGTACTCCTGCTCTCCATCCATATTGGATATTTTCAGACCTCCCTGAAGCAATCTCAATGTGACTCTGGTGATCAGAGTTACTTGTTAAATCACACAGGGAGATTTTCCAGCTTTTTGGGAAATCTCCTGAGCCAGCTCAATTCTTTCCTCTGCTATGGAACAGATGAAATGATTACAGTGTCTTGCCAAAAGTTTTTCCGTTATGGATAAAGTGAGGAAGGTTAAGAATTGCTGGATTTTTTAAAAAGATTTCCTTTCTTTTACTGTGAAAGTGACAATGGTTTGAGTAGTCGGGAAGTGAGGGGAAATCTCCAACAGGAACACAGACAGAAATAAAAACACTTTTCTTTATTAAAGTGGGGGACATCTAGAGCCCCTGTTAGAGTTTTATTGGTGTCTGTCCTTGTTGGAGATTTTCCATCACTTCCTGTCTGGTAAAATCATTAATATTGGAGCAGTATGAGAGGAAATCAAACAAAACTACGGATGACAATGAAACTTGACAGGCCTCTAATGCCTCACCAATCTATCCAAAACAAAAATGATAGTTTTGGCTGAAGATACACTTTAAAGAATTGCAGTTAGGATGCTGGTGGAACATAAATTCCTGGCACAGTTATTATTTGGCAATGAGCTCTTAGTGCTGGGAACAAGTAAAAAATGTTGTTGCTTCTCAACTATCCCTAAAACTAAAATATCCAAAGCTGGCCATACATGGTTTAGTTTTTTTTTCGTTCAGCCTGCTGGAGAAAAGCTGAACCCAAATGTGTGGATGGGGGAATCCTCCCCGATCCAACAAAAATGTGGTTGTATTATGACAGCGGAGAGGCTCTGTCAGAATACACAGATCAGTGCTACAGCCATGGACTGCAGCAGCTGATTAAGGTGTCCTTTTATGACACAGAGAATAGCTGCGATTCAACGGATCTCAGCTATTCTCTGGTCATTCACAGTTTATGACACTCAGGAGATCATGTCAGCCCTTCTCTGGAGATCTGTGTTCTCCCTCCAGATTCTCCAACCCAGAGCTGGAGAATCAGAGGGACCACAAACTAAGCAGAGATAATTTACCTCTGCTTAGTAAACTGATCTTTTACTGTAATCTTGCGAGATTATAGTAAAATCAGCCGTTTTCCAGAGTTTGTAGACCGTTCTTCAGCGTTTGGAGACCGTTCTCCCTTCGTTCGGAGAACTGCTTCATAAACTGCATTCACAGGAGAACTGTGTTCTCCGAGAATGCCGGAGAACTGAGCAGCGATCTATTACCGCTGGTTCATAAATGGACACCTATGTGGCTATTAGGTTTAACAAAAGTGGCCACATATGTTGGATCAGCTGAATTTTGATTAATGCATGACCAGCTTAACACTAAAACAATACAATGTAAATAGGCAAAGTGACAAATTTTCTTAACCCCTTACAACTAAAGATGGACTCCATGGAAGGTAAAAAAAGATTTTGTGCAGTAGAACTACCCCCCACACTGCAAGGGTTAAATGCCTATTTGGTCTAGAGCAGGGCTTAAAATTTCAAGTCCTGAGCTACTAGCCAGGCCTTAGAGTTACTCGCCACAAAACAAACACACACAGAGACACCTGTACACACACACACAGACATGTACATACACAAACATGTACACACACGCACAGAGACACATGTACACACACACACATACAGACACATGTATACACACACAGGCACTTAAAGACACGCATACACACAGATACATGTACATACACAGAAATATACATGCACAGACACATGTACATACACACATACACACAGACACATGTACATACATACACAGAGACATGTACATACATACACACAGACACATGTACACACACACAGACGCAAGTATACACACACATACATGTACATACACGCAGACACATGTACAGATACACACATGTACATACACACAGACACATGTACAATTGTACACACACACGCCACCACCCCCACCACCCCATAAAAAGGTGCAGTACTTTGTTGTTCACTCACAGGGCCAGGTACTGCACTCTAGGGGGAGGCAGAGAGCACAGCACACACTCCTTGCTTTGCTTTCACTGCGCTCAGTTTTTGAGCAGTCTGACGGCTCCTAGTGCCAATGACAGATCCGGCCTTAGCTCCGAGCCTGCTCAGCAAGATGGCCCTGGGGGACACACTCGCCCCCCACCATAATTTCCACTCACCATTGGCGAGCAGGCGCGTGGAAATTTCAAGCCCTGGTCTAGAGCAGTGGTCCCCAAACTGTGGCCTGGGGGCCAAATGTGGCCCTTTGCTTGCTTTTATGTGGCCCTTGGGTCATTATTCCTCCCACTGTCAGCAACAATGGGGCATAGTTCCTGCCCCTGACACCGACAAAAGGACACTATTTCTCCTATTGATATCAATTATGGGGCACTATTCCTCCTATTGCATACAAATAATGGGACACTATTCCTCCTATTGATACCAATTATGGGGCACTTTTCCTACAAATATTGATATACCAATGATGGGGCACTATTCCTGATACCCATTGCACTATTCCTCTCACACCAATGATGGGGCACTATTCCACCCACTAACACCAATGATGGGGCAATATTCTTCCCACTGACACCAATGATGCGGCACTGTCTCTCTCACTAATACCAATGATGGGGCATTATTCCTTACATTGACACTAACAATGTGGCACTATTACTCTCATTAACACCAACGATGGGCAAAATTACTCCCATTGACACCAATGATGGGGCACTATTCCTCCCACTAACACCAATGATGGGGAACTATTCCTTCTATGACACCAATGATGGGGCACTATTCCTCCCACTGACACTAACGATGGGGCACTATTCCTTCCACTAACGCCAACAATGGGATGCTATTCCTACCACTGACACCAATGATGGAGCACTTTACTCCCACTAATACCAATGATGGAGCACTGTTTACTCCCACTGACGGCCAGGACATTTTCTTCTCCCACTGGTCACAGTCTCACCTCCAAAAATTTGAATGACAGTAAATTGGCCTTTTGTTTAGAAAGTTTGGAAACCCCTGGTCTAGAGGAACAAGTAAACTAGTTTTTCTTACCTGATCCTCCACTCCCACAGCTTTCTCTGAGCTGCAAGACCAGACTCTTCTCATCTATGCTCTGGCACTCATGGCTCACGGCACTTGATGTCTACTGACATCATCAAGTCCAATGCAGGGTTCATAAGGACAGTCCTCTGCTGAGGCAAAGGGGAGCACAAGCTGATAACAGTGGGTGGGACGTTAAGGGGTAAGGTTAGATAAAACTTGCTGCTATGGGTCAAAAGAGTGTAAAGCACAGATTTCATGGGTCAGGAGTAAGTAATGCCCAGAGTGTAGGGGTCAGAAATAAGTAACACCCAGAGTGCAAGGGTCAGGAGTAAGTAACTCCCAAAGTGCAGGGGCCAGAAATAAGTAAGGTCCAGAGTGCAGGGGTAAGGAGTAACAAACACCCAGAGTGCAGGGGTCAGGAACAAGTAATGCCCAGAGTGCAGGGATCAGGATTAAGTAATGCCCAGTAATAGTCTACAATCGTAGGCTTCTCTAGCGATGCCATTTTGTACTGATGCTTGTGCAGTGAGTTGGAGCCTGTGCACTGCAATGCCCAGGATTAATCCAGGGAAGCCCATTTCCTGGTGTAGATGGATGCGGTTCAACCATTGTGGCTCCAACCTCCATCTTGGCAAAGGGTCAACCATCTTTTACAAATATATTCCCCCTCATTCTCCCTCTCCCTCTCTAAGAGTCACAGTGACGTCTGGTTGTGTGTGTGTGTTGGAAGTGTCACAGGCTGGTCAGGCCACAGCAGGGAGCTCCAAGCTATAAACCAGCTTTAAGCTGGGTGCCGGGCGGGCTGGGAAGCTGAGTAATCTGGCATCTTGTAAAAAGATAGCCCTAGCCTTTCCCTGAGTTCAAACACATTCCAGAGGAGCAGAGACTAGATAACACTTTTAAAATCCATTTCCCCCTATGTCTCATATCTTGTAATATGAGAGACTTAAAAAAAAAACAGGTAGATCTTCAGATTAGCAACGAGAAGACAAATAGTTTGATAGGTCACACTCCCTGACTGGAATACCTAGGACAGCAGAAAAGAACATCTCTGTAACCCTTTGAGTATGTATTTCATATTTCATATCTAACCGTTCCTCAGATGCGTCTGCATAGTAATCTACCCGCGGGTGGAATGTCACTTGTGCATAGGAAAAGTTATGAGCCTATATATGAACTACGAGAGAATTTGGCTCTAGTTTAGGTCTACGCCCAGACCTTCCCTCCCTAAACGAGGCATTGGTCCTTGACTTCAGAGACACCCCCTGCTAGGGGACTACAAAATAGGCTGTCAGGCCTAAGAGAATTAAGTTGAAGAATTCTCCCTTTTAACTTCAGAACCACCGTGGGAGATCATGCCCTTTCGCTCTGAAACTTGATCTGCTTAACCCAAGACTGATTGGCAAGTACTTTAACCCTTTAACCTCCTTTCTGTTACCTCTTTGCTGTTCTGTTGATATCTGTATATTTCTGTATATATTGGTTACATCTTTTTTCTGTACATATTTTTATTGCACCCTTTTGACCTTTTAGTAATAAATCCTTCTTTCTGAAAGTGTTGAACTGTTTTTAAAGCTTCTTAATGCAATTTACAAATTCCTGCCTCTAAAAGAGCTCTACTGTGTTTGTTTAACCCTCTGTATAACCTGTCTGCGGTGACCGTGCTAAACAGACGATTATCTCAACCATTATAGTGATATTGCTGATATTGCCGAGTTTCCTCTTTCTCTGTACAAAAAGGAGGTGGTGGCAGTGTGAACGGTTAATTGTGTAATTAACCCGACCCAGTAACAATCGCATTCAGGCTGCCGGTACATCGATTTGTGGTCCAATAGCTGGAAAATCGTTGTGCAGGGTACAGCTGGGCGTGGCATTGTTATGCACGTGACATTCAGATTGGCTAGTCCTTTGGTCACGGGTTTGGTGAGAAGGTCAGGGGTCTGACGCACGATCGTCACACCTGGGACAGGCTCTTCACAATGGGGACTGTTCCTTGGAAACAGGGACAAATGGTTATCCTAGAACATAGCCTCTCAGACAAGTAACCATGCACAAAAATTACCTTTTTAGCTGTTTGTAAGGGGGCATTCTTCCCAATGACCACGCCAAAAGTAAGAAGCACTTAGATAGCTGTAGATATAGTATTTATTAGCAGGGATTCCCATTGTTCGGAAAGTCATTTCAAGGGCTCCTCAGTGTTAAAAAATTTGTGAAAGGATATCCTAATCTAAGCTCTAACCCCTCATTTATGCCTTATCACGATAGTGCCTCTGCACTCCCATCCAAGCAGTCCTATTCATGTCAATTGGAACACAATGGCTGCACAGACACAGCTGCTGTGTCCGAAAATGATATCCATGTGGGTGTGGTTAGGTGCGTGGCCCTAAATTCACACTGTGTTCAGGGACACACCCACCCGCACCCACAAGAATGTCAGATTCTGCGGCTGTGTCTGTGCAGCCAGTGTGTCCCAATTGACATGAATGGGACTGCCTGCACAGGGATGCATGAAAAACATCTCTACATCCCTATATGGATAAACGCGGCCCTGCACTGGCATACAATATAGTACACCCTGACTGACTGAGGTGACATCTTTGTTCCAAGATATTGGTGCCAAGTTGGTATTGACCAAAGCTATTAATCTGACATCAGGTGACTAGTTAGTTGGCTCCCACTGTTTATGCAACTCATTCAAGGACAGGCAAATATTTCCCCTCTGCCATTTTGGAGATATCTGCTCATCTTCTTTTTGTGCGCAGATAATTTCTCTTAAACGGTTAACATTGACATGATTTCTTATATGTTAGTATGGCGTCCTTCCCTTCATATGGTAAATACGAGATATCTAAAAGTGAAATTCCATGTAGAGCGTTCTGTATACATTCCACAGTGGTGCATGCAGGATACTCCATTCTGCAGGGCAGCCAAGAGGCCCCTGCAGGTACCTCTTCCCCTTATGTTGCCAGACCACCTGGATATCACAGAGAATGGAAAGCACATGGACACCAGCTGGATTAGATGAAAATTCTTTACTCGGGAGACGAGTGATGTTTTTAGACAGGAGATATACAAGAACCATTTTGGAATCTACAGTAAGGGTTTTTAGTTGTTATTTGCTAATAATCAGCTCATTTCTGATCAACTCTTTAATTGGTATACATAACCTTTGTGAGTAATGTTCCTTCCTATGTAGTAAATGCCTACACATTGTCAAATACCAAGAAGAAAACAAAACTGATAACGGATAAATCGCACATTGATCAGAGGTGAGTTATATCAATTACATATAGAAACCCCCAAGTTGTTTTAACATAGAATTTGAGCCTACTTACTATATAAGCTGCATCCGTCTCCTATGGTCCTTTTTTCCCAGCAAGTACGTTTTACTGTACTACAAGCGAGAGTCCCAGACATGCATAAACTTCAGGACGCTGGGTTATTTAAGAAAAAAAATCATTCATTACTTTATAAATGTGGGGAGGGGTTATAGCCCTGTTTGGTGTTTGCTTGTATTCTATCTCCAAATTATGGAGCTTACTTCTCACTTTCCAGACAGAACATACTGGGAACCTTTCCAGTGGGGAAACACTTCAACTAAACCATTTTTTATTACTTGAAATACAAAAAATGAGAGCCGCTGTCAGGTTCTTGTTGCTGTGTGTGTCTTTCTGTCTGTTGACAAACACTCCCCTCTTTGCTTATACTATTTTCATAGGCTGTAAAGGAGACAGGAAGTGACACAAAATCTCCTCAATGGAGTTACAGACAATAAAAACGTAAAAAGTATTTATTCTTCCTGGGTCTATCTAAAATGTTTGACTGGAGTTGGGTTGTAGTGTAAATAATCTTACCAGTCTGTATTAATGTTTTAACCCTTTCAGTATCACCACCATAACTACTTTGATTGGGTAATGAAAATCTGTCATAAAGAAGTGCATGGTATACAGAGGTAGAAAGCACTATGTGTGAAAGAGGAAAGAGACATTGCATGTCATAGAGAGGCATCAGGCACTATGTGAGGCAGTGCATGTAATACAGAGGTATGAATCACTCTAGTTGAGGCCATGTATTTAATAGTGGCATGAGGCACTGTGTGTAACAGAGGGCGGAGAGGCTCTACATGTAATAAAAGCATGAGGCAGTGAGGCAGTGTAT